ACGATGTCTATTATTATTTTGAATTATTATTCATGGTTTACTAAAAGTCTTTATAAATTTTCCTTTCTTTTATGAACAACAATACAAATGTTGCGTCATTTTCCAAAATTCATCAAATTAAGTATGAAAAATATAGAAAGTTTCTGAGACTGTTAGATACTCTATAGTGGGAAGCAACACTTCTTACGCGTACCATAAAACGCCTATTGAGTTGCTGCCAAAAGACGTTTAAAGTGATGGAAAATGGTGCACGATGCACCACTCGAAAATAAATGTGAACCAGGTGACCTTTTCACCAACCTCTTCCTCCTTTTACGAAGCAAAATACCTTGATGTTGAAAACATATTTAATATTCATTTTTAATATTGTAAACAATTTTGCAGAAAATATTAGAGACTATTTATATAAAGATAAATATGCGTCAATCGTGGGCGGCAGATTCACGCCCTACTGTGATAAATATTCAGTTTTGTATATTTTACATGTGTGCTGTTGGATCAAAATTGATTAAACCCTTTTCGTTCATGATTTACCATTTCTGTCTTTTACAGCTGTTAATATAAATTCAATTATAAGTATAATACAACGGCAGCGTACTAACATACATAAATTGATATTACATTAGAAACGATTTTTGTTTATTTCATTCGTTGCTCAGCTGTAGTTGTACAAACATGTTACGAAAATTACATTTCTTATATACATTAAACATATTTATTTAAAATACAGAATACATGTTCACGTTAGTTTCTAACTCTAAGAAATCCATATTAGAAATAATCACAAAAATTGCATGTATAATAATAATTTTAAGTTAATGTTTTGTATTTTCGACATACTCTTCCATTATGACATTATTTTGTTTTAATTGTATCAGCAATTATAAGACACTGTGTACATACTCTCTTTAACCGAACATCAAATATTCTCCTGCTAAAAGACAGGAGCTGTTATATAATCGTGGTGATGAGTAGACTACCGGTATTTATGCAAATATTCGTTTTTATGGCCCTATTTACGGGAACTGATATGAAACATAAATTATTTTACTTTATTAAGTGTTCTATCGTGTTTCAAACGTAATGAAAATCTCGTGAATATATTTATATAATTTTATTAAGAGCTATAAATTTTATACTGGACCGAATTTTAAATGATAGCCTTACTGATGAGTCCACCAATGCTAAAATCATTGGTATCTGAATGAAATATGGATGAAACACCCTTTTCTTTTCCTTTTTTCTCCTTTCTTTGCATATCTTTACATATATATCTACACATTTCAGCCACAAACGTATCACGTTGTAAAGTTAAAATCTTCAAGGAGAGTTCCTTATGTAAGAGATTAAAATGATTGAACACTTTCTGCACAATTTAATATTTTACTATCTTAAAAATACATTTCGTACGTTTCAGAAGGAAGTAAAAAATTAAAATCTCTGCAGATGGTTTTATTACTTAGTTATATATAGATTTTTTATCTATTACGGAAATTTATGATGTTTCAAAATTACGAATATAAAGTATAATTACTCAGTCATAATTTCAAGAGTCACTAAATAATGTAAAAATAACTTAAGAAGAACAACTTTTTAATTGACTTGAATTTGTATTCGACTTTCAAGAGATAAATCAATGATACATTGTTTAATCCAGTACAATTTCCGATAAAATAGCAAATACGTGTTGCTATTGTACTTATATCGCATTCAACTGCATAGCGTGAAAAACTACAAATGACGAAAAATTTACTTTCTAGAAGATTTTAATCATATGTGAGAAACGTGAATCCGAATAAATATTTAAAAAAATAAGTTTCTTTTCAATATTATAAAATCTAAATGTGACTAAAACATACGATGAAAAAACACCTAAAAATCACAATTCATCCCTTGTTCTATAATATTAGACTCGTGTTGAAAATTTTGAACCGAATTCGGCAAATCTAAATGTTATTTGCCTATTTTAAATATAAATTTATTAAAAATTCTCAAAACATACGTTAAAGTGCAAAGCATTTATTCTTTATTTCTAATCGATAACATTTGTTTGATTATATCGATCTGTTTCAATCCCCTGGACCTTTTTAAAAATGAAATCTATTCTATTTCAAATATTTTCTTTTTTGGACATAATGTTAAATTAATATCATCTACTTATAAGAACGAATTACTTAAATAAAGGTTATTTAAAACATACTTCGTTTTATCAAAATTAAATATCTCCTTTCTGTTATCAATCCTTAACCAAAATTATTTTTTTTCTCTAATATAAACTCTAATATAAAATTTTAATAACTCTCTAATATAAAACTAAACTAAAACTGATATAGAAACTATAAACAATAACGCAGTTTTATCAAGTGTGAAAAAAATCATAGGACAATGTGTTAAAAGGACAAAAAGAAACGTCAAATAGCTAATTACATAATTGTTGATCATCAATTACAAATCAGTAGTATTTCCATAGATAAAAAATCTACAAGACGGACAAGTCGCGTTAACACTGTGTTGAACCTACTCTTTCCAGTCACGATTTCTTTTAATGTTTTCTACGTATGATTCACCGTGTACGTAACGTAGTATGTACTTCGCGAACGACAACAGCTACGAACACCATCGTCCCCAGTGTATTTCAGTAACCACGATGCATCGTCTCGAGTTCTTCGCGTTTCCAATCACCACTCCGGAAGTTACGGAATACCAATATTTGCCCGTTGCATCTCCCGGATATTCTTATGCGGTTGCCACCCTCCTACGCTTTTAGGTATTGTGTTTCAAACTGCCGCTTCCAGCAGATCTGTTTCGATGAAATCTGACTTCCAGAAGAAATCCTTTCTCATAAGAGACACTTGTTTGTTTTCGGATATATTGAATTGTAAACTGAGTATAATTTAGTAGAAAACTGTTCTTATGAAGATATTTCATGTGTGTATCCCTTTACCAGTCGTTATTCATATGGAAGGGGTTAAAATAGGGTTCGTAATCGAGGGTGAGTAACGTGTTTGGTAAATATTTCTGAAATTCTTTCCAATAGAAGATATTTGAAGAGAAATTTTTTAGATATGCAGCTTTATATTTGTGTTTATACGATTATTGTTTGATTGTACGCAAGTAATAGCCATTTTTATTACAATAAAAGATAGAGATAATAGTGTTTTATTTTTGTTCTGTGTTTGGACAAATAGTTTTTATATACAAATTTTTAGTTTTATTAAATTATTAAGTAATGATAAAATTACATATCATTAAACGAATATCATCAAATTAATTAAATTATTTGGTGTAGTTTTACATACAGATGTAAATACAAGGTAATGGATTTATGTTTAATTCAGAAGATAAATGGAAAAGTGTTGCTTTCAAATGTTCTACTTAAACGAATGAAGTTTTCTAGAAAAAAAGATATTTTCAATATTGCTGTTTATAACGTTCTTCTAGCTACAGGAGTTTTTAAGATATTACATTAAATATGCTTATTATTCCCAACAATTTTCACCTGTTCAGTATATCATTCATAGAAACCTATGCCAGATTTTGTAAGAACCACTCTTAATTTTAAAGATTTAAAAATTTTAAATACTGTGAAGTATATGAGTATAGAAATTTGAAACATACATATTAGTAAACACTTGATCTATTTTTTAATTAACATTTTTAAAAATTTCCTTAATTAAATTAGTAAATAATAATTTACAAATAAAGACTACATATATAGTAAAATACATTTTTCATATAGTGAGTAACTTCACTTAAACTTATCATTAACAGCATGATCTAAAATGAAATTGTACCATAAATTTTATGTAATAATGTTTTAGATATTCGGTAGTTTTTATTTTAAGGACAATATTATTATGAATAATTGGGATAATGCAATAATTCTGTACGATTAGAAAATTATGTATTTGATATAACACAGTGTAAATATAACCAAGTATTTTATATTCGAAAATCTGAAATTTTAAATCCTCATCTATTTTGAGGCGTCCTTCAACCAACGACCTATTGAACACTTACGCTCGACCGAACATTGTAGTGATGGCACACAATATGTGAACCACTAATTCCATATGAAAATTTCCTTTATTACGAGAGTGCTACAAAGTTCATTGAAATCTTTTCTTGTCAGAACAATACCAAATAACAGTATTCTACTAATTTTATTCAAAGTACACATTTGATGTGGATGAGCTCATATCATATTGCTTTCGATGAATTCAATATAGAAATTTAACACTGAAATTGTTGAGGCGTTCATATAAACCACGGCAATAAGCACGCGATGAACAAACGAACATCATTTGAGACGCGTTCGCTCCGCGTATTCTTCGATTGTTTTCTTTATACTTCGCTCGCATTCATGGCGTTCCCAGGTGTTAGGCTAGAAGTCTGTGTACCGTCGCATGGTCGACCTAACGTTCATCGAGGTTCACCTCCGCATCATTCTTATCAGAAATTATCTACCTTTCTTATTTTTCAATTACTGAACTTATGATTTTTATATTTAAAATCATTTAGGAAATAAATATTTTTTTCTGTAATATATAAAAGAAAAAAGAAGATATAAGGACAGTCACACAGAAACGTGAAAGAAATCTTATAATTGTTATACATCAATCATTTTATGTACTCAGTAGTTCTAACGCTAGATCAAGTTTGAAAGGGACCACGTATTTAGAACTAAACCTTCCTGGCATTTTCCGATGATTGATGACTATGCACGTTGATTCATACAGCTATCGAGTGTCAGAATAAACCGTTTGGAAGAGTGAACGTTCAGGGGGAAACGTATTAGCGTACAAAAATGTTTATAGTTTTTTATTAAAGAAACTTACAACAACTTGGAAATCTAAACAACAGTAAAGCAACTTTATATTTATTTGTCAATAAATAGATAAGTTGTTTCTCATGAACTCGTGTTTTCTTTTTCATAAATAAATAAATACTGCGTTAATAAATAAATGAGATGTTTCTTATATCCCCATGTTTTTTTGCAGGATCAAGAACACCTGAAGCCGCAGATTGTCCACGCACTTTCCAATGCAGAACTGTACTGCCTGGCGCTGGCAAACATCTACTCGGATCCAAATTACCACAATCAGAACCACTGCGGTATTCTGCAAGCCCTTGCCAGAAAAGGTGTTTACCTCACGGAACCAAATAACACTCAACTCACCGAAACAATCCTCATTCAAAATTCACCACTCAAAATGGTAAGAAAAAATTGTTACATGTTCTTAGAGCATTGTTCCATTCCAGGTGGCGCACAGAATCATTATTTTCTGGGTAATTTATTCTAATAAAAATGTTATAAACAATTTCTTAAAATTTATCTGTTCCAAACAAAACATTTTATAAGTAATTTCGGTTTTCAATCAAGTATAACAATATATGTTTTAATACTTTCATTTTGTTTTTTTATGATCCATTACCATTTGTTGGACAATTTTTAAACTTCCTGAAAAAATAGTTGATGTTTAGAATTAAAGAACACTATGGAAATAACTGTTGATTTTAACGATATACTGTCACCGAGTATTATATCGAATTATTCGATAAAATTGTCGACCATTCGATAGTTATCGTGTTTAATTTTCCATTGTATCGAAATCAAGTCTGTGAAAACCGCAACGGGAACGCATAAAATCCTAATCCCAGTCTAATTATATTCCTCAATATAGAATAATTCTGGATGAGATGGCCCAATCTCATACAGTACTGAATCAAAAAACAGAGCCACCGTGGTTTTTACGCCACATTGTTCACGGTAATCATAGTATTACAACGTCAAAAGGTAATTTTGTGGTTCTAAGTGGTTCTAATTTTTTTATGAGAGACTGTAAATTGTCAAATACTTTTTAACCCTTTGAGTATATTGTAACCTGTAGATGCGTATGTGCGTCTAACGAAAGTCATCGCTATTGACTGTGGGCGCATATATGCGTTTTCGATCTTTTTAACCTGTTAACTGTGGAATTTAGTTTTAAAAATCCCTCATTGTGCGCGCAATAAAATCAAATAATAAAGTGTCTACTCGTCAGATACAAAAGAAATGCATCTATAATATATTCTAACGAAAAACTACAGCAAAACGAAGAAGAATTATACGATTATCTGAAAAAAAATAAATAATTGGTAGTTGAAAAACTTAATACCATTTTGCGTTTTAAGATGATGTGTATACTCGTCGAACGCAGTCAGTTGTTTAACTATTCTTCTCGTTTGTATTTCCTTTCATAAACATACTTTGTTTATTAGATATCAATGACGTTTATATTATTACAGTTCTTTAAAAAAACTGGGCCATCTCTCCCAGACATTCCCTAATTGTATCACTCCCTGTGACGAATAGAAAACTCGGTGTTGAAGTTTCCGTTACGTGTTGCAGTCCGCGCATATGGCTGTGATAGAGGGCCTGATGGTCTTGTACGCGAAAGAGGTCGTGACCGGGGATCGATTGGTCTCGGCGATACGCCGGTTCGATCCCCAGGCGGAGGTGGAGGTCCCGGCCGACCACGAGAAAGGGCTTCTTCTTTGGATAAGCCACGCATCGCACGCGTTGATCGCGAAAATCCAAACGGAGGAGGGCGCCGGCGACAAAACGCGACTGCCAGAGCTACCAGCTGCTAAGGACTTCCAATCGTTATGTGACGGGGTTGGCCTGGCCGCAGTGGTGGCGTTTTATTGCCCCGGCGAGCTGAACTGGATGGACATCAGGGTGTCGAAGAGACCCTCGGTGGCGGACGCGCTGCACAATCTGTCATTGGTTCACGCGTTTTGTAACAGATGTTTACCGTATTCCATTTTTCACATGCAACCGGAGGACGTAACGTACATGAGGGGGTAAGGAACCACACCCTGATCTAAGGGCCCATATATATGCTGAAACATGAAGCGATGCAGGTTTTCGAAGGCTCAAACCCATCGCGACTAACGTTTGTCTAACACTAAACGTGCCGACACTTTGTATATATTTATTTGTACCATAACCAGCCAAATAAGTGATTACAAATGTAAAAATTGAAGAACAATGTAGGAATTGATATAAAATTAAATCTTCATAGTTATAATATTTCATTAAATGTAACAAACCGTCTTTACGAAACAAAAATAAAATTCAAGGAAAGAGATCTCGTGATCTTCCTACACGTTGCACTATGCGTTACGATTTTAAAAAAGTAAAAGAAAGCTCAAACTCATCGCGACCAACATTTGTTTTTAATATTTCATATCTTTGGTGAAGAAAATTGACTTTCTTTCATTTGAATTTTTATCTAAAATCGTAATGTAATCGTAAAATCGTAACGCATAGATTTCTTTCTTGAATTTTATTTTTGTTTCGTTAAGACGGTTTGTCGCAGTTAAACAAACGTTGGTCACGAATGTGTCAATATTTCGATAGCGACGTTCGAATTTAGCACTTTCAGTGCCACATAACCCATATTCTGGTAACACTATTTTTTATATAAACTGAAACACTAATTTTCTTGTCAACGTATCAAACAAACCAAATTTTGTTAAATGTACAATATACAAAAAAGATAGTGGGGGAATTATTACGAAGAATCTTGACTTTTTAGGTTTTGCTGAATTAAGAAAACTCTTTCAACTCTATAGGAGTTTCAATAAGTGTTTACTTGGCTGCCAAAGTGTTAATCCCTTGCCCTATGATTTATTTCTTAACTATAATGGATGCAAATACTTTTTCGTTAGTAAGTCGTTACGAAAAGAAAAAACTGTTGATGCTTATGCTATACCTACGTTTTCTCCAAAAGTTAACGATTGATAATAGAAGAGTAATATTTAATTTATACTTGAAATAAATAAATAATACTTTGATTTGTAAAACTCAATTTAAAATTTTCGTTACGAGTCTGAGACGATATTGTTGATCAAAGGCTTGAGGACTCCACTATAGACGTGGAACTCTTGGTTTTTCGAGTTTGTGGGATCAGTCAACCCTCTTTAACACGACATAATAAGAACATTTCGATATAACACAATGAAAAATTGTTTACAACTTTTCTATTACACAACATTCTTTCAACACAGATTCCATATAACGTGATGCAATAAGTTGGACACTCTTCGTATAGTACGAATGTTGCCATGACATTGATCAACTCAGTTGACGGTATTCCTTACAGCACGTTTTCAGTACAATAGGATATGAATTAAGCAAATTACACGAGGGTTAACTGTATTGTATTTATCAGCTTATGTTATAGTGGAACGTCATTTACCTGACTTTCGATCATGCGAATGGTTGATTACATGAATTGAACTACATATTCACTTTGCTTTAAATGCTTACTTTTTGAAACACGTATCCTTCTTTCTTTAAATGTTCCATTTTAGTGGCCTATCCAAGTTTAATGTGCACGATTAGATTTTGTTTATTTCGTAACTGCTAAAAGAAAAATAGTAGTACTAAAATTTAAAGATAAATTAAATATTATTGAATGAGATACGAAGTTTCATTTATATCGCAAGCGTTAAAAAAAAAGGAGTGCTAAAATTGAAACATAAATTATTGATGAAAGAATATTATTGAATGAATACAAAAAGGTTGAAAATATATCGGAAAACTGTTTAATTTGTGATTGATTTATGATATGTTCAAAAATTTGATCCTTTTAAACTGGTTATTCCAAAAATGGTTTATCCAGACAGATGTGATTCCCAATTAAATTCGGATAATCAGTGTTCTACTGTATATATACAAGATAAAGAAGTTATTTATGCTATATGAAAACCATAATTTTATAGAAACGTACAATAATATATATTGGTTCGAACAACCGATTTTTGTACGTTTTGCTTAATGCACAATTATACTCGCTTTTACGGAGCCGAATATACATAATATATAAAGTATGATATTCGTTACTGTGCTTTTATCACTGAAAAATATCTACCTTTCAGTAGTGAAAGAAATCTCTAGTAGATTCTTATAATTATTAAACCTGAGTAATATTTTTATTAATATTATCATCACTAATTATCATTAAATATTATTTACTGAGCTCTTACTATTTAAAATCGTTTCCTTTCCAATAGTGGCAGGAAACATTCGTAGATTCTAGTAATTATAAATCCCTACTATTATTTTTATTATTACAATTATTAATTTTAATTGGTCTTATTACCGTTAGTAATTAATCCCGAATGATCCAGTTATTCGAACCATCCCCACCTCCTGAATTTCATTTGTTTGTTAGTATTTATTAAAATCTTTCAGTTGTGTAATCGTAAAGGTCTTCTAATTTCTATAATAGTCTTCTAATATTAAATATTTTCATGAATCGATAAAATAATACATGAATTGATATAAGTAACGATTCAGAATAAAATTCGATCTTAATGAATACCTGTTTTCGAGAAAATAGTTTTGAACCCGACCGAGCAATCTGTCTGACTACTTCAGACTATTTCTACTTGAAACAAGTGCTTATAGTAAAACACGCGAGAACTTGATAATATTGGGTTACGAAACATTTGTTCGTATTTAGTACGGGTTCTTGAGAATGTTCGAAATTCTAAAAAAGTTCAAAATTCTCAAAAATGTTTGAAATTTTCAAAAGAGTTGGGGTTCTCGGAAATCTCGAGACCTCGATTGTTGTTTCAATACACGTTTTGATAAGTACGACAGTGACTTCGAGTTTTCGAATTTTCGATTTTTCAGATGTTTCTAGAAACTACATTATAAAATTCGGTTGCAGTTTCCTGCGGAAATTGCGAACATTTCCAGGAATACTGGACATTCTCGAGAATCCGTCCCATCTTGACCCGACCATCGGGATCTCGACAATTTCGAGATCTCGCACACGTATAGCTGACGGTGCGATGTTAGTTGTTCTTTATCGATCTTGCTACTTTCTGCTATATGTTGTGTGCGATTACACTTAACCCTCGATTTACACGGAAGACTGGTTCCCTGAAAATCTCGTGTAAATTGAAATCGTGTAATTCGTGTCTACAATTCACATTGAAAAGAAATGCACATGTAATAAATTTAACGAATCCATATGAAACAATATTATTTATTTTTAGTATAAAATATGTTACAAGAAACTACTAATATCACTCTTTTTGTTTTATGAGGATTTCTTTTATATACCATGTAAACATATTCTTTTTCAATTCTTTTTCCTTCTATCTGTTTTTTGTTTTTAGCTTCCTTTTTACTAAACATTTTTTGAGAGCAGTCTATTCTTTTAATCTCCATTTGATAATTCTAATATTGCAAAAAAATTAATTTAATTTTTGCACTGAATATTTTCTATCGCTAGGATTTTAGAGATATTCGACTAAATATGTTTCTCAGTTCCATTTTAGAGCTCATTTTTATGTTCCTAATATGATTGATGTATGATAAAAAGAAATACTTATCAAAAATTGTTATAATGAACATTTTTTACCAAAGTTCAATGAAAATTCGTAAATGTAACTTCAGTTTGTATACTTGCGAATAGTGTTTACTGATTGTATTCTATTATTTATTGGATTTTTGTTTCCCAATTTTACATTGAAAGAATGATCTAAAATCGTTATCCCTTTTAACTTCTTAAGCTATGATTTATTTCATAAGCACCCTTTATTTTGCACCTGCAAGAAGTAGTTTGCCATTAATAATTTACTAGAAACAAAGGAGAATTCCATATTAATCCATACCCATGTTCACTTTAAAGCTGCACTTTTTCAAAGTGGTTACCAACTGTTAAATTCGTGACAGAGGAATAATATTTAATTAAAACTCAAGTAAATCGGGGTTCATTGATTTTTATTAACTTCAATTTGAGATTTTCCTCACGAGTATAACATGATATTGTATGGCGAGGGGTTAATCCCTATAGCTCTTCCTATGTCTAGATTTCTAAACTATACAAATGCTAACAAGGAAAATAATGTTCCATTTGAACTTAGCAGAACTGAATGACATTTATTTTTGTTAAACGATATTAGACAATATTTATTAGTCATTAGTTAGATAATAGTTATAAAGAATATTTGTTAATCAAGATCTTCATCGCGAATTCAACATGCCATTCTAAAGCAAGGGATTATTCAAGTAATTGTCTTTTTCTTTAATTAGGTCTATGAAGCAAAATTTAGTCGTTTTTCTGGCGGACATGTATAACGTGTTGGAGATCCACCCTGCAAAGTGCGTACGTTACCCCGGCGAGGAGAGGGCGATGCAGTTCTTAGATGGTACGTAAAGTATTGGAACTAACGAATGACATTCTCAGATAAATAGCATTGGAGAGACTCGTTCGACACTATGAACGGCGCCCTTTGTTCAGGAAGGGTTCATGAATATTTTGGTATTGGATTAATATGATTGGTGAAGGCTGCGTACATTCTGTATTTGACTTACCCGTTCTATAATTTATTTTGTTATACTTTTTTCCATGGAATTCCGTTTCTGTTGCGAGCAATGTATCTTTTTGGAAAGATTTTGGAAACAAGAATAGACATACAAATCTTTCGAATATTTTTAATGGGATGTGCAATTTATTGGATTCGTGTTGTTTAGAAATGGAAGAGGGACAAGCAAAGTATTTGTTGCTTATAAGTGATCTGTTTATATTTTGTATGTGTGTTTGTATGTGAGAAATTGGGCATTGGTTTGCTTTTAAGTAAGAATTCTCCTGTATGTAAAATCCATGTTTCGCATTTTGATACATTAAAATATAAACATATAATATTATGTTCTGTTTGACCGAAAAACTGATTTTACAATATTGTGAAAGTAGGAGAGGAAAATATCAGGAAGTTTAGTGAATGTGTGTTATTCAGTCACGTCTAGAATGCACAATCAAAAATGTCCAATAATTGCAAAAATAATATATAAAAATTAATAATTTGTATTATCTACTAATTTTTAACTATTTCCACCAAAAACGAAGGATAACCTATTATTAAGTCCTAATTTCCGACCTCAAGATACCCAGATCATTCATTTCTTCATCAAAATAGTATTTCTCCACCACGAAGCATCTTGATATTTTCCTCAAACAGCGAGGAAAATATGAAAAAAGATTGGGTTGCGTCCGATATCTTGCACACCGCCATATCGTCAGCGTGCATACGCGAATCGAACAATAGAATGGGGGATTGCCCGCAGCCGGAACGGTATCACGCTTTTTATCAGTGTCAGTACACACACTCGTTCCCAGTCTCGAGATCCAGGTCCTTAGCAGCGACTAATAAAACGCATCCATTACTTTTTTTACTTAAGTCGAACTTTGTAACAGATCTAGACCCTTTAAGAACGGAGAACAAATGTGAAAATGGAAAAGAACAAACAAACAAACAAATAAACAGAAATAACAGCAACGATCCTCCACGTATATATATGTATATATATACACACATAACTTTATATATATATATATCTATACAATGTATATCACTTGTAATGTAAACTATAATATTTCCATATATTTCTATGGCGTAACCTTCTTGATGCTTGACAACAACGCTATCCTCGCCTTCTTCTTTCGTCAACTTCCGGTTGCCAATGAACGAATACGGTGCGGTGACGGGTGCAGCCTGCCCGCGCAATAGTCATGGTGTAGCTCATAAAAGAAGTCTGCCACAGTCTATAGCTCCGATACCTGATCTGAGAAGCAACCTCTCCGTATCCGCGCCAGGCTTCACAGGTACCCACACGTTACCAAACAACCAAATCATGAAAAAAGAAAAAAGAAAGAAATATAGGTGGTCTTCTCGATTTAATCCGCGTGGATTTCGCAGACTGAGATGTGTCGATTTGCCATGAGAAATAAAAGAGAATACTTCCAAAAAAGAAAAGATAAATATAAGGAATAGAGGAAATAGAACGTTCAGGTTCTATTCAGGTCCCAGAGATCGAGAACCTCGCAAAATTTGTCGTTCGTTTCTTGATGTTACCTTTTTTTTGTCTGATTTCTCTTTTAATTACTTCTCTTTCGTTCTTCCTTCTCGGATAACTGCATTTTAAATGCGACGCATTTTCATTTACCTTTCTGCGTTGTGGAAAGTTGATTGTTGTGTATACATACATGAATGAGAGGGATCTCTTTTATATAGTATTAACCCTTTGCACTTGATAATTCTTTTTTATTGTAAGCAGTCATTGTTTCTTGATGAAATGTGGGTAATATTATTTGCAAATTATAATGTAAAGAAGATTATGGAAGAACACTAAAATTAAGTAGGAAATTAATTATTAGAAAATTATTAAAATTAAATTATAATTATGAAAATTATTAAAATGATTAAGAATTATTTTATTTCAGTGTTTCGTATGTTGATGGGTTATTCAAAATTTAATAATGAATTTTTAATTTTGTAATTTTGTTCTGTTGAATCAAATGACAATTGAGAATTGCTTTTCGAGTGCAAAGGCTTAACAAGCAGATTCAAGGATATCAAATATATGTGGAGTAAAGGTAGAATAAAAGTAGTGTGTAAAGTTTACATAAAGAGTGTGTACATATTTGAAATTAGAGAAATGAGAAGGAAATGAGTTTATATGTGTAGTTGCATAATTGCATTAATCAAAGTTAATGTAAATCGTTTGAAAATAATATTTATGGTTTTTGTTGTTTTCAACGTGAAATCTGATCATGACTATAACCAGGGATTTAATGTTCATGGCTTTGTGGCATATCGATCAATTTTGAACATTAATCGTGGAAAATCGGAATTGTTACATTTGGGTTTTCGTTTAGACCGGAATTTTTGTAATATTCATGCCGATTGTAAATTTACATTTATCGCAACACTGTGAAAGATTAATTGAAAATGTGTTTTCAATGGAAACGTTAATTCTGAATATACTCATTAAATTTATGATTTGTGCAATATTAGAAACATCATGATTTATGAATTATTATTATACGATATGATATTGCGTTGACCTATTTTAATTCTGTATTTTTTGCGCGAAATTCAATTTTAAAACTCGCATACGTATATACGATAGAACTTCTATTTTCATATAAATTTCGTAACTGAATACACGTTTCAGGTTTTCCATCTACTCCAAAGTATTTGTTTATATTTATGAACGTGCAATCCACGTAAAATCCATTACAAATGTTCAAGGTTCTCTTTAATATCTGCAAAAAATTGTTTTGAGAAATATTTGAATTTGGAATTAATGAAATCGTTAAAATCAAAATAAAGTTACGGATTAAAAGAAGGTAATTTATTTTATAACACAAACATTCCTTTATTTTGTGGTACAACTCTTTACAGTTCAATTTTGTTTAATGTCTAACGATATTTTAATATTTCGTTACTTAGTTTAATATTGCTCCGACAGAAAATATATAAAATTATATTTTTAGAATCGAAATTATATAATATTTATAAGTATAAAAACTTCCCTATATTAAAAAATATATCTATTTTAATACAATAATTTTTTAATCTTCTATTTAATAATATTAATATCACTTTATTAAATAGTATTATATTTTTGTATTCGAAAATACTTCTGTTATTGCATAATTATTACTATCATAAAATATTAACACATGAAAAATGATAATTATTCTTCGAATAACAATACCTACTTTTCAATTAAAACAAAAAGCAGGAATAATATACAAGCAAACAAACTAATTACCGACAAACAATTTTTTGTAAGATACTTCCATGGAACACTCTTCAATTAATAGTTCCATCTATGTATTCACTGTATAATCTGTCCTTCCGTATAATAACTTCAATATCTTCAAACCAATGAAATCAAAATAATCGTTATAATTAAATACGATTTAAATACGAAAGAAAGAAACGTATTTCGAGAGCTATATGAAATGCGTTTTGCATTTAAAACGTGGCCAGTTCCTTTAGATTAGCCGTAATAGAAACCGCAATAACTATTAGGCACACCGCTTCTTATTAACAATATAATTTGCATAGTACTTTGTGCCACGGAATATAGTCAGCGGTCGATGTGAAATAGGACTGCATGCAATTTCGCGCATTTCTTGGCGACAGGTTCCTAATTTTGGCTGTTCGGTTGCTTGCGTTGTCGTTGGCTTCCGGTTTCCTTTCGTTTTATTTTTTTCCATTTTGCATGTTGTATACTCTCGTCTTGTATCGTTCAGCGACGCAGCGTGAAGTCTGGACGACTCATTAATATATCCACTCCATATTGAGTTAGTATACTTTGTTTGCAACGTACATTGTCTACGTTATATGCGTGTTTTGTATTTTGTGTCTGTTTACTAATCCTTTCTGCGTTCTCTTGAGTTCTATGTACATATTCTCGATGGTTTACAGATGTTTTTTCCTTTCTTTTCACACATTACACGACGATTAGAGACGCTAGAAAGTTAGTTCGTAGGATTGATTAACTTGTACCCTATTGGATAAGTGTATATCTTTTGACTGTATGATAACGAAAGCTTTCATTCCTTAGAGACTTTAGTCCAAGAAATTTGCGTGTGACGAAATTTCTATCGAACTGACATGTACTGCTGTGTCGAATAGTGAACTTTGAATTTAATGGTTCATTGTCATTTGTAATAGAAAAAGCAAAAATACTTATCATTAATTTTATAGTATCATTGCATTAAAGTTTATTTTTTCATTGGAACATAATAAAAATTATAGAATGGTTATGTTATGTATGTTCTGTATCGTGTAAGACTTACATCTACAAGGACAATTGTAAGCTTCACAGTCATTAAACACATTAATTCCTTGACGTTACAATTTTTATTTACAGCAGTATACAATATATACACTTTGGATGTTTAAGTGAATTTCAGGTTTTGTAAAGTGATTTAAAGAAGTTCGTAAAGTGTATAGAAACATTTATAAAGTGATTGAATATTGGATACATTCGATAAAAATTTATTTAAAATAATTAATGTTTTATGAAATATGTGAATTTTAATTTACACACGTATGAAAAGTAAATATAGAAATTTCGAACGCAAGTTTCATTCTCTCACATGTCAGAAACGATTGCTGACTTAGATATTGGTGCTCTTTTCTAGATGCGTACGTAAACAATCGATTCAGCATTGAATTATTTTCTAGTTGCGAAAGCAGCATCGTCCTCCTCTGTCAAGAAGTCGCAATCATTGCAACAGACTGCCGAAAATTACTCTCACGATGACAGGTACGTTGTTATATTTCATCATTTAACGTAAGCCTTCCCCTTTCTAACCGATAACACCAGAAAAACAACCCTTGGACCATTGAAATATAACCAAATAATATTTAATTCACTGCAGCAAATGTTCTCATTTCGACCTTGCGTTCAACAGATTTTATATTTTCTTTTACATGCTAACAGCAGTCTTCGTGAAAATTGTTATTTTTCTTATTATGTAGTAAGATAATTATATAGTAATAATACGTACAATCATGTTTTATTGGTTGCGATTATTTTAAGTATTAAAACAGAATTCATCTAGCGATTATTTACTGATTAAAATTGAACTAAACTAAAACTGAATATATATTTTATATTGGTGCATATATAGTTATACATAAATATTAAAACGATTAATTGACATACATCTGATACAGATAAACAACATATGCTAGAATGTTTTCACGACTTAACGCTATTATTCTCTTTTCAACTAGGCTATCTCGAATCTTTTATAAATCTGCCAGATGTTGCACAATAAAATCATCTTTTATTTTTTTTATTCCTATTCTTTTCATTTTCATCGCGTGCTTGTTTGATCAAATATGGTCACACTCACCCTTGCCACATCAATTTTTCTGGCCACCCCCTTGAAATGTCGCTTTCTTTCAATTTTCTTTTTTAGGGCCATTTTGACCACCAATACACAAATTAAGCTCGAAAATTACGTTTATGTATTACTATATTAAAATTATAACAACAAATTTTGCAAATTTGGTATACTGGAAATACGAACTACTGTTGCAAGATGTAACAAATAAATATAAAAGACATATAAAAGTACAAGAAAATTCCATTTGCTACAATTGGAGACTGCAATTGAAATTTCATTGTTATGTGTGCACAAATGAATGAATTGATTGAATAGTTTCTCGCAGAGATATATTTTATGACTTCAGTGTATGTAAAATAAAATATCTTATACCGATTACTGGCAAAGTATCTAATTATTATACTGTATACTAAATTCCATGATTTTATATTAAAAAGTTTACGCAAATTTTTAGTTAAGAAGTATAACAGTCCTTGTTTCTCAGAACGTGTCTAATTTTCAATGAATATATCAAATAATCTCTCCAAAACATACAAACCTCGTTCCTTACTTCAATTATACAAAACTTCTATTAGTAATGTACAAGTTAAAGACTTCATTATTAAAATGTAAATTTTATTATACTCATGTACTCGTTTTATTGCACATCGTGTATTCGATGCATTCCAAGTGCATAAATGTGCAGTTTATCCAGTGTCGAAATAATTTTATTGAAATTAAATTTGAAATTAAATCAACAATTTTCAAACTGTAAAGTGCAGTGTACTGTAAAAGAATGTGCGAAAAGTTTAATAGAAATGTAATTCACGTTTTCTTTCATTTTGTGTATTAATACATTTTTTACCATTTGAAACGTGTCTGCATTATTTCATGAAATAAAGGAGAGGTAGGCGCCAAGATTAGATTTTTTTAAAAGGGACGTAGTAACATAAAGTTTGGAAACCACCGTCTTATATCATGGCCGTTTTAGAAGCTGTAAATGTTTGTCCCGACATCATCGTTTCTCCGTATCTCTAATTCTTCTTTGTTTTATAGACGGACGGGGAGCGAGGAGAGTTTCGTGGTTCATCGTGGTAAAGGCATTCCTACGTTAAGCTCCGTAGCAGATGAGAAGTCGGTAGCTAGAGCAGATGCCGCTGGTCGGCCGAGCAATTGGGAAGAACAGAGGAGAAGTTCTTATGCTGGCCGACGATCTAGGCGTAACAGCGTTTCGGATGACTCTCAGCTGACTATAGAAAACTTCGGTGGTTCTCAGGTGACTTTATGATTTGTTTGCTGAGTAATCATTATATAGGAGAAAGCTCTTGATACGACAACGATAGTTGACTATACACGATAATTGAAGTCGTGAATTCGAAAACAGCACAATTTCACTTTTTAACGTTATCTGTATGAATTATTGATTTAACTGTTCTTCGTTTATTCAGATTTATTTAACCCTTTGTCCTATGATTTATTTCTTAAGTATGATCGATATAACTACTGTGTCATTTATGATTTATTAAGAAAAAGGACAAAATTATAAGCATATTTTACGTCTGTGTTTACTCAAAGGAAAATAATTGATAACATAAAAATAATATTTAATTTGAATTCAAAATAATCGAGTAATATTTATGCTTGTTGAATTTTGTTTGAGAATAGGTAATTAAAATCTTTACTACGAGTATGACACATTACTGTAAGGTAAGGAATTAATAATGTTAAAATTGTATACATAATGAAGATGTATGTGTAGCCAATATTTTCAGAAAGAATCAGTAAAGTAGATAATGAAAGAATGAACGAAGGTGAAAAGAAAGATCGTCTTTTTCGAAATGTTGATTGGTTGACTAGTGCTGTTTTGGAATTCATGGCTTCAATTGTTACACTCGTCCCTCCATTTACGTGGCACTTCTTTTACACTAGTTTCTTATTTGCGCGGTCAATTATAACACTACGCGAACTATTTAATCGATCCAAATATAGTGATATAGAATAAAATTTACCGTTGTTTCCAGAAATGTCATTATTATTAGTTTTTGTTAAGCTATGTGAAATAAGTATGTATTTTTAAAACTTATACCAGGAATTCTTTCCAATATTTTGTGTTCTTTTGTACCGACAGACTCTATTTACGATTTTCAATCGTGTAAAGCGAATCTACGTGGAACGAATACTTCGTGTAAATGGAGGGACGGATGTATCAACTATAAATACAAGAGTTGCCAAGGGGAAGAGTATGTTAACAACAGAAATTTTGAGCCAAAAAAGCTTGTAGTATATGCTTCAGTTATTTTAGGAAATAAATGATCGAATCAAACGTAGGAGAAAAAATAATAGACTGATGGTCTATTGGACTTGAATTCAATTACTGTCTTTCACTACATAAACAGATCTGTACGATTAAATTTGCTATATCTTGTTCGGATGCAACAGATCCAAAGAAATCTAATTTATCTTCTACCGTATATGAGGGTTACATAAATGAACAACATGTTGCATTCGACTATAACAAAATTTTCTATATGTGTTACATAATATTTTTAATGCTATATATTATTATCTCTATTCATGTAACATACAAAAGAACGTAAAGTAGAACATAGCAAAGTAATGTAAACATGGTTACCAGTTTCGTTGTTTGTATTAGGTATCCGAAAAGTTCGTGCGGTTTTTTAAATCAAACTTTAAACGCAGAGAACAGTTTTGTGAAATAATTAAATTTTATTTGGTACCAACGACATAGATATAACTTGTTGTTAATAACAAATTTCATTCACTAAACTAGTGAAATACTGATTGAATTGAACCTCAATTCATTGCTAACAAGAAAATTGCACGAACTTTTTGATACCTAATATATGAAAGAAAGAATACTATATAGCCATTTACCTTTTTGCAGGATAATTTACACAACTTCGGTAGAAATCCAGATAAAGAGGTTGGAGTTCATATTGGCAAACGGAGTACGACCGAGCCGACATTGCCTGCAAGATCGAGCGTTCAGGACGTGTATGGTAGTGGTGTGCAGCACATACTCGCGGACAACGGCTATGGAAATGATGAGCCTCCGAGATTGAGAAGGCAGACCTCGAACTCGAGCTTGGACAACGTGGCGCTGAAGCAAATTCTACATTCCAGTGATAACGATAATTCGGAGGGGGACACGTCGAAATTAGCTAGCTTCGCGAACTTGAACAGGCAAAGCTCAGAGAAAGGGATCAATTTAACTTACACCGAATCAGAGGATGCCACGACGAAATCGAATCTTACGATCAAGAAACACGGCCAGACAAACGGCAATGGTAACGGCGAGAAAAAAACAACGTTTGCCACGTTACCGAATACGACTACATGGCAGCAACAAAGCAACCAGCAGTCCCAACAGGCGGAACAACATTCTGTTGGTAAGTATACATTATTTTGAGGAAATAGTTTTATGTCTCGTGTCACAACATAGATTTTCCTTCGTGGTAACATTCTGAAATTTAGAGAATATTTTTAAATATACAAAGAATTGATATATTTATAGATTATTTAGTACAACAGTAATATATTGCGTCGTATAAAGAGTTAATTCTTAAATGCTAATTCTTCTATTGCACTTAAAAATTCTTAACTATAATTATATATTTAATATATAATTACGAATAATATATAATATAACGAATAAATTAGAAACTTTATTAAAAAATTAAATTAGAAATTTTATCAGATTTGGCATATTTTTATATATTATAAATACATAAAACTAGTAGTACGCTATTAACTTAATAAGAACATACTTATTACTAAATAATGTTCAAATAAACCATGTAATGAAAATTAATCAATATCTTTATATAAATGTATCAGTTGTACCCGATATGTTTCTTGATAATAAAATCTTTAGTACCTTCTATTCGTTGACCTGAGACATGAAACATCCTTTAAATCGCATTACATGTGTTACAATAACTGTCTGAAACTGACGAATCGAATAAAATTCATACGAGCAGATGAAAACGGTGGTAACACGATTATGGCCTCACAACTGAATAATATTAGATTGAAACTCGAAGAGAAACGTCGGCACATAGAGAACGAGAAGAGGAGAATGGAGGTTGTTATGTCGAAACAACGTCAGAAAGTGGGGAAAGCTGCGTTTTTGCAAGCTGTTACGAAGGTAAAGCGTGTGATTCTGATAAAGTTCATGATCTTGAAACTCGTATTTCCCATTTCGAACGTCATACTTTACTTCCAGCCAGATCACATTCATGGCCATTTTAATGATTTGTTTCTTTTTTTATTCTAAAATGTCACATTACTGAAATGCAAGAATATTTTCAATCAATATCTTATCATCTTATTGCTCTTATAATCGCACCAAGTAAAAATATATAAGAATCATTATGATGAAACAGAACATTGAATACAGCCATGAGTTACTTGAATTATAGACAGGGCTGTTTTAGTACAGAGCATAATTGTATTGTACGTCGGACACTAAAGAGTTTCTTTTTCTTCTGTAATACAATCCGTTTAGATGTACAAGCTGCACCATAGTTGTCCTATATTTGCGTACATGTTTTCTTTAATTTCTTTGATATCTGGCTGTGTTACTATATTTGATCATTTTAAAGTAGATTGTAAGCGAGCTTGCAGTAATAATTTTTTTTATTGCAGGTTAAAACGGCATATTTTTTCCAATATTTATATTTTTTTAACATCTATGTATTATTAGTTTATTGAGTAAAAAATTTGTGTGTAGTTGCAAGTGCGACGTAATATTGATGCCTATCACATGGTGAAAGCAGATAATCTTGATTGCCAGCTATCTTATTGTAATACGTTTTTCTTTCTCATCTTTCAGCTGTACTTGGTGGTAAGTGCATGCTGAAAAAATAATCTTTCATAATTACCAAATTGTAAAGTTATATGTAGATCCTACCACCTGTACAATACAATAGACAATGAAAAGAATATTCTTATGTGAACAGACGAAAGAGTAGGGTATTTCTGAAATTTTATACAGGAGGAAGTATTCGAGCTACTTTTCTGAAATTTTGAAGATGCGTTTAGCTTTTTTAACGTATATGGAATTTCAAAACAAATATGGAAGATGTAAAAATTAATTTTTTTCAAACATTTAAGAAGTACAAAAACTCGATGCTTTGAATGGTTTACATAAGAATACTCTTTAAACTTTTTGTATGCTATTTCCGTTTCTGTGCTTTATGTTTGTTTCATAGAAGAGAAATGCCCGAGGTGTCTTTCTCAAATCTTAATGCATTTTTGTAAGATAACAGCATATAGGTTTTTGTTAGTATTTTTTAAAGTAGAGGACACCTTGAGTAGAATATGAATGTATTGCAGAATGTATCAAATTTCAGGGATGAAATGAACAAAGAAATAATTCAAGCAAGATCAAATGGAACATGAGTTAATATGACGTTTTCTTCATTACTTGACTGTATTCAAATGCATCTCTGAACTTGTAATAATATTTTTGTATACATTCTGCATATGAAGAAAGAAATAACATAGGTAATCTGGTGATGGAATGCATGCTTGATATTACTAGCAACTTTTAGCAGGGAAAGTTACATTCAGCCGTATTTTGATTTATTACTCATATATTGGAAATCAGAAATAATTTCTTTAAGCTTACAATAAGAATAAAGAGAACCATAACAAGTGTAGTAATCTTTAGTAGGTTGTCCTTTACATTAAAGGATATAGAAAGCAATGAAGAAGTATTGTAATCCTCTTGCAAAATGTTTTGAAATGATTTAACGCATAGAAATGTACATTTTCACTTTACTCAAGAACATTATGTAATAGCAAATTAATGTCAATGGCAATGAAATGTTTGCAAGTTGAATTGGCTTTGGCATTTAGTGCTTGAATGTAACGTTTAACTTGGCTGTGGAGACACCCGACCATGGTGTGGTGGTTGGAGACACATATTGGACTCAGCATATGCGGACTCCAAGTACTTAACAAGGCACGGTGCTTGGGCTGGTTGCAGGGTAAGGTTAAGTCTCCCTCTTCATCAACGTCTGGGGGGGACAGTCCGGCCGAAATCGGTCCCCCCACTCCTGTAACCTCCGGATCTTCGGGGGAGACCCCGACAAGTGTTTCCGAGACGACCCCTGTACCCCAACAACCCTTTCAAGAAAAACCACAGAGACCCTTCTCGCTCAAGGTACGATATCATATAACAGCGTTCCTGTAGATGAACATTTTGAAAGAAATACTTGCTGACTCGCTGATTTCTTTAGCGATTTACATACATGCTTATGTATGGCTTTCAAACATTTGTTACTTTTTTTCATATACTCCTGCTATACCACCAAGCGTGATTGAAGAACGCAGTGACAGGATATGAATACTTACCTTTATTATTTAATATATGAGATATTTCAAAGGCAATGATAATATGCTCTAATACGCTACAAGTAAAATAGAATATACGCTTTACATAATTTTTTCCTTAGTGGACAATCTTAATTGAGTTTATAACAAGGAATGATTATTCCGCTTCTTGTTGCTTACATTTAGGTATAGAGGAAAACGAAACAGTCCCAGTGCATTCTGTGGTCTATAAAAACTTTACCAACTCTACTCCCATGTTAATACAATTTGTAAAAATTCACCCTCGGAATGCATGGTACAGTACCAAACACTCTTTGGACAGAATTAGAGATGTGTTCGAAATTTTATTTATCCTTTGCGGTGGCGGTTTTTTACACTTGTATTCTAATCATACTCTGGCACGATATATTAACAGTAGATCCAATTTCGTGTTGATATTCACATGTTTAATAGTATTGAAGATTGAAGTGAATTGTCTAATATCTACCTGAGTTATATTGCAACCATTTATCTGTGTTCACTGGAATTTTTTCTATAATTTTTATTGAAAATCATTGGAAAATGTAAAATTAATATTTAAAATTATTTTCATAAACTTTAGATGTATAATTATTTGCAAATATTGAGTTATTATATTATTCATCATGAAATCCAAAATTAGAAAAATTACTTGACTGATAATTTCGTTCTATTGTTTTTCACACAGATGAAATTTCATTCTTTTACTAACACATAATTGTATATCTACAGGAAAATTTTTCCACGTGTAATTATATAATAAATTTTCAAATCGATTTTATAATGTAATAATGTAATTATTATATAATATTATTAATACAAAACATACAACAACAAATATAGTAAATAGTAGTAGATAATATAATAAATGACAGGTAATAACAATTAAACACAATAAATCATACAGTTAAACTAGCCTGTAGATATGCAACATTGATAGCATTAATGACAGCTTTATCTACATTTTGTAAATAATTTTCAATACTTACCCTGATGACTACAGGAGATTAGTGAGGATGTGCGGGATGTAGAACATAAATGGTTGGAGCATGATGGTAATGCACCATTTATTGAAACAAGACGTACTCCAGACATTGAAAATATGGATCTTGAGCAGTATCATCAGTCTATATCACAGTCAGTATTTATTTTTGCTTCTTAAGACATATATAGTATCTATTTTTTAACATTTTTTCTTACTAAACATATTTCTGTGTTTTCACAGATTGAATAATAGTCTTAGTGAAATACAAGGAGACATACAGCGTTTAGCCAATCAGCAGAATCAGATACAACAGCAACATTTAATGTCACAGCATCAACAACAGATGCAGCAACAATTACAACAATTGCAAAGTCTGAGTCAGCATCATATGCAAGTATGTATATTATTATTTATTATAATATATAATTAAGAATTGATTTTATAATTTTGATAGATACATTTTCTTCCTTGTACTGTTTAGAGTTTTGGAATGTCAGCCATGAACACTTTAAGCTCCAAATTACAAGAGCCTCAACAGTCACAATTTTATTTACATGATCAACCACAGTTGCAAAGACGAATGTGGGGTCAACCACCTCCTACTCAAAGTTTAGCAAATGAAATAGCTGCCGTAGGTTATCAACAGTCAATGGATCCACGATATGGGTCTCAATCAACAGGTGTGTAAATATATATATCTAAGCCTGCAAGTCGGCTGCTTATACTAAACATTAATCAGACTTTCGCATACGCTAGTTATTAACTCCTATATATATTTGAATAATAATTTCCAAAATGAATAAACTTGCTTTATCTTTTATTACATAATTTTTAGGTTATCAGCAAGATATGCGTTTATATCAAGATACGCGAAATTGGGGAACACATTCTCACCAACAAAAAGGATTTGTTTTACATGATACTCCTCCAGAACCGAGGTATCTTAATGGTGGGGATCATAGTCTTTGTAATAATCAAATGAGTCATCCTGGTTCTACATATCCAACGTCTTCATCTATCTTTAATCAAACACCACCGTCTTCTGCTAGTCCTCAACATCGAAATGCTGTAAGTTGTACATTCTATGCAAAATCTATTCACGTGTGAAATTTCACAGGGTATATATAAGTAAAACTGAGATGATAGGAGTATAGTAAATAAATTATAAATGACTTTTTGTGCTACTAATTATGTAACTTACAATGTTGCAATGTAATTTGATAACATATTAACAATGGTAAAGCAGTGTAAGAATTTTAATCTTTAAAGTTCGTGTTAGATAGCATTATCCCGTATAATAGTCATGAAAATGAACTAAAATTAATGTTTAAAAAAGGCATGTATATTTATTATTATATAAATAAATATTATATAAATAATGATAACGGTAAGCTGTAGACATTTTTTAATCATTATTTTATTATAATTTTGAACAGATGCTCTAAAATATTACATTATAATTCATTGCAAACATAATAATATTAAAAGAAAATAGAAACAAAAATTATCATTGTATAATCAATTTTAGTTGAAATTTACTTATATCAACTAAAAGTGTCACTGTATTGAAATTATTCTATACTTAGCTTTTTAGTCACATTGATGCTAAATGAATTACTACATATATACCCATACACAAGTAACCAACAGTCATGGAACCAGTTAGTGATGTAATGGACATTTATAGGCACTCTTAAGACTCAGTATGGCAGACAGTTTTGTGTTGAAACTGCATCTGACCGTTTATACCTTTTGAAATACTGTTTGAATTTCTTTTTCTTGCTTAAAAATATTACCAATATGTATTTATATTGTTTATCTACTAATACAAGATTGTATAGTTACTCTCATGAGGTTTGTTTATACATAACTTGTCAGTGAGTGTGTATTAATTATACTATTTGCATATTTTTTTCACAGTTATTGAAATATAGTGTCCTATTATTAATAGAAGAATCATGTATGATTTATTTTTCAAATGAAAACAAAATTTTCATTTTTAATATAGGTTCATCGAATAAGCCAGTTAATGAGTGAAAGTCCAGAACCAAAAAGGCCGACTGTACATCATATACCAATTAAGTGTGAAAGCCCTACAGAGAAGAGACAGGTTACTGCATTGCATGCACCTGTTCCAGCTCCACCAGTTGATGACATGAAACCACAAAATATATCGTTTATTGGTAAATAAGTTATATTTTGCACGTTTAAAAACATTATGTGCTTCTGTAAACATCACTATTTTTTGTCATCTTTATCGTTTTCATTTTCTGTTTTTTGTTCTTCATTCACCCATGTATTTTAAAGGAAATGATGATGAACTTTCACAAGGCATAAGAGGTTTGCACATCACGTCTGGCAGCCGTACATATAGAATTCCATCACCAACTAGACCTTCAATATCACGTAATTCATTTCAACCTCATCCATCATTAAGAGAGGCCACACCATCTCCATCAGGTACTCCAGAGGTCACGCCTCTCGATCCAACGGATGCTGGTGAAAAAGGTTTTTACATATGTTTCGATAATGACGCACCGAAGAAACCAAAACCAACTCTTAGAGTAAAGAGAACGTCTCCCAAGAAGGTAAATATAAACCACTTTTCATGCTACGTTTCAATATTAAACTTCCAGTGTCTAAGTTTCGTTTAATTATTATAATTACAAATCATATAATATTTTTTAGGAACGAACAGCATCATCATATGTTGAAAACGAAGATTTTACCGTACGACCCGAATCTCCGGCTACCATTTCAGATAGACAAAAACTATTAGAGACTCAACGAGAGTTAGATCGAGAAAAACAGCGTCACATAGACGAAAGGGACTTCCAACGACATGAAATTAGAGATAAAGAGCTGCAAAGAGAAGTGGAAAGAGAAAAGCAAAGGGAAAGACGCGAGACCAGCGCAGAAAATCGACAATCAGGCGTTGGTTTAGTAATTGGAAATCAACTTGCGAATCCGGATCCAGTAAGTTTATGCAAAGAATACAATAAATGTAACTCTATTGGATATCTTCAACTTAATTTTTTAGAATTCTCTGGATGAAATGGAACGTAAGAAAGAACGTATAATGCTTCTATCGCTGCAAAGAAGACAGCAGCAAGAAGAAATGAAAGAAAGGAAGGAAGCTGAGGCACAAGCGCGTAGAGAACAAGAAAAATTAAAAGCAGAAGAAAGAGCTCGTAAAAAGGAAGAAGAAAGACAGCGAAGAGCAGCTATTTTAGAACAACATAAAGTAAAGAAGGCAATAGAAGAGGCAGAAAGAGAAGTATGTGATTAGGTTAAGCTTATCATAAATATTGCTTTGAACCAAATAATCTAATAAACTTACTTATTAGGGCAAAGTTATCGATAAGGAGCTTCTCAATGCAATAAAACCAACAAAACTACGTAATAAGACTGCTACAACTCGACCAAGACCTAAGACTATTCATGTGGATGCTGGTGCGGAATTGGATTCTGGAGCTCTTACGCCTAGTCGTGGCAAAAAGGGTTCTTCTTCGAATCTCAGTACAGGTATGTCTGTGAATATAACATGACTTTGTAGTGTAACATCTATTCGTTGCAATGATTAGTGTTTCTTGGAGATTAATCTCAATCTAACAGAAAATTAAATAGGATTCTTGTAGCTCATCCATTTCGAAATAATTAATATTTTTGTGTGACACATTCTGCTATGTTGGAACAGCTATCTCCAAGACAACAAATATCACTTTGCTATTTATAATAACTGTACTCCTTTTGTTATAATCTTCTAATAGAGTTTCTCAATGTTGTAATGTAATTGCATTTACTCTTTGCATGGCGAAGATTCAACTCGGACAATTTTTGTTTTTAGTATTGCCGTTTTTTTCCATATTGAGTTTTGTTGTAATTGTTTCTATGAGAGATCTCACCCAGTCACAATTCACAAGCTCAAAATTTTCTCAGCTATGCTAGTTTATCCAATTAATGATATAAGGACGTTATAAAGAATCACAATCGATCGCAACATACATTTCTAGATTCATTCAACCAAACTAGAATAGTAAAGAAAATTCGAGCTGATTGTTTTGCACTAACACACTTACTGTAGCGTCGCTGACCTCCCCGACGATGAGACGAGACTACTACCGAGGCTCGCAGGACAGTCTCACTGCTGCTCATTTCGATGAACGACGTTCCGGCCCTTTTTATCGGGGCGGCAGTCTCAGGGGTATGCACAAACACACACTCTCTGACTCGCATTTTTATCTGAAACATCACATATATTATATGACTATGTTTGTTAGCTTTTGCATAATGAGTATGCATATAAAGTGCTAAACAAGCAACAAAATTGGGACTATGTATTGCCTTTCTATGGTTATCAAAACATTGAATGAAGTGTTTGTTTATATAAGGTTGGTTAAGTATAGTGTCAGAAGTTATATTTTTTTCTAAACTTCGTATAAATTTTTATATTAAAAGTATAAACCGACGTGTAAGTGTTTAAAGAATAGGGATCTAAAACGGTTTTACGTAAAAATAAAAAATTATTAAACGAAATAAAAATATAGGTACTCGATTGCTCATACAAGGATTTAAGATAAGTCAGAACAAAATAACAAAACTTCTATAAACTGAAAAAAAAATTGAATATAATTTCTCAGACAACTAAGAACAAGTATAAATTGATACCAAAGGACATCGCTTGATATACGGCAAATTTTAAAGAAAGAATATAATGAATTATTTCACCAAAGAAAGTGCAATATGTTATGCTAAGTATGCAATCGTATCAGCCAGATTGAAATGTATTTGATGTCACTCAAAATTTATCATTTTTAACGTAGAAATGATTACTTATAGCACTTTTCCCTCATACAATACTGCATGCTTCAGTTTGTTTTTAATAACCGTCAATTAGTTGAGTATTGTAGTAATCATAGATATAGTTTCGTCCCGCAGAGGAACTAACAGATTGTAATAGAGGTACCCTATTTTAGTATCTTCCGTAGATTCACCCGACGACGGTAGAGGTTCCTCGCCTTGTCGAAGTATGAATCAGCTTGGCCGACGTGGTTCCTACAAGACGTCCAGAGGTGGGTTGAACTTTATTCATAGAAAGAATGCCATTTTTATCATGTTCCTTAAACGTTTGGCTTGATAAAAGTAGACTCGTTGCAGGATGTATCACTGGTATGGGCAACTACGTATCAATCTTATAATGTTGAATACATTTCATTTAGCATTTGATTATTCTCCAAATACCTGAGTAAGGTTACTTAAGGGTATGACTTTATTTTTTTTAAGTAGCGCCTTTATAGTAGAAATCTTTCAGTTTTGGAACGCAACGTTGTTCTGCACCAACCTGCACCGGCTACCTTGAGTTTTTGATGTTCCTAGCGGACATGGCTCGTAGTTAGACTCTACCCCTGATGCAATGACGTACGATTGAAGCATCCCCTACTATTAAATCTTTGATCGTACATAGCATTTAGAATGTAACACGGTAAACATTGCATTATTGCAGATGTGCAGGAGCCTCAGCAACAGGTTAGAGGCAGGCCTAAATACCCGAGTTACCAAAACTTTAAGGGGAGAAAATCTAATTCCTTGATGAATTTGTGTGGTAAGAAGCACCAGTGACTTGGAATACGTTTATCCCCCTTCTGTCGTGCATCAATTATTACGTGTTCTGTACACCGTTCCAATTTTTTGTAGGCTATAGCATACACGTAGTCGCATGGTGGCAGATTGGAGCACAGGTGGCAGTGATAATTTACACGCATACACAAACAGCACATTATTGATACGTCGTCGAAATTTTGTCTGCTTCAGTAGTAGTTGAAAATTAAACGTTCTATTAAAATTTATTGTTTGATATACATTCTCAACCAAACATATTTAAGAGCAAAATTATTAATATTATTTTTATACAATTTGTCTACGGAATATTAAAGTTAAAAAAATGATATTTCCTTTAGTTAAAATAGATTATTTGATATCACGAATGGGATTGTATGTATCGTTGATCTTTGATTTCCTGTGTTAGTCTTATAAAAGCAGACATATTTTCGATCTTCATTCACAGGATAACTCATTTGCTGCAGTAGATAAGATTCAGTTGATGCTTCTTGGGCTTCTTGTTGTACAGCACTGGTTCTGGGTACCAATATATTTAGTGTTTTTCAGATTATTGTTGGTGGTTCCAGTTTCCATTTAATAACCTTTTCACTCTGACTCACATTTAGGTCCTGTATCATATGGTTATCCTATCACTTACGTTAAATATGTATTTGTTCTGTCACTCCTCTCTGTTTTTATTTCCAGGTATTATGGTAAAATGACACAGTATATTCATTTTAACTTCATTTACGAATTAAATACGCGTATAACATATGTATATTATATTTATTTAATTATATACATATATGCATATCAACTGTAAAATTAGGTGAATCTACTGTGTTTCATTTCTCTGAGGCCGCGAAATTGTCACTAGTTCTTACGTTTTTTTTTACAAGTGAATTTATCCATTGTTCTCATCGCGTTTATAAAATCTTAGTAAACTAGAAAGTAACAAACTGTTAAAGAGTTTCGTCTTCATCGTCGAAATTCCCAATAAATAGTTCCTTAGATTGTTTTAGAAACAAAAAGTTTCCTCTGTTTTAAAATAAAATAGGTGACAGATAGTACTGGAAAGTTTTGGTTTTTATGTTTGTACAACACAGAATGGTCCAATAAGAATTAGAACCATGAAAGTAACAAAGTTTTTCGAATAATAATTGTTTGGTTTTAAAGATGTAACCGCGTATGTAATTCGATTTTATTGTAAATAGAGTAGGAGACAGTTTTTTTTTAAAGAGCTTGCCATGTTTTTGTGTTTATTTTGTTCTTCAAATTTTAATTGTAAATGAACACATTAGTTTGCGGCAAATTGCATAACCGTATAATATTAGTAAAAACAATATTTTCCGCTTTTTCCATCATAATAAATTTTAATCTTGCCATTTTAATCGCCATTAATGAATAAATGATACGGATTTTGTGAATTTTGTTGAATTTTGTAGATACATTTAGCATAAAATTCTAGACTATAATTTGTCTGCCAATTCAGTGATATTCACAATCGAAGCCACATTTAAAATCATAATATGTATTTTTGCTCACTAAGAAATTCACAGTGGTAAATTGTTAAGAATAAGATTATTATTAAAATAGTTATCATAGATAATTTCAAGCTCTTTAATGCCAAACAATTTTTATTCGATAAATTGTTCTCTTATTCTTACGGTTTCAAACATATTCAAGATGCTAATTTTTATTGAATCACCTTATACTTTATATAAATATTCTGAAGTGATCATTTTATATATTGGACGCAAGCTATGAAGATGGATATTGTTGAAGGTCTTTTGTAAGTCTAACAAGTAACTAATAACTCGGTATTATCAGGAACTAACCGACAGTAATTAATATGAGTTACTTTCTTCGGATTCCTCTTGCTTGGGTGCGTAAACGTTACAAGATCAAATATTGGAAGTCTTGTACTCTCGTCTATTACCGTGAACGGACACGTATTGTCAAACGTTTCTTTTTTCTTTATTTCTATCTTCATATACTGAGCTTGCGTTCGCAGGTTCGAGTAGTGATCAAGACGGTATGATGTGTCGATACACAGATACGGACAGCGGACTGGGCAGGGCAACACCACCGAGGAGGGCACCGAGTCCTGGCATGGGCAGCATGAGGCATCTTCCTTCACCATCAGGGCCTGGCTCTTTACCACCTGGTTTGATGACTAAAAGAAGGGTTTTCGATGACGGTAGCAGTGACATCAGTAGCACGCCAAGTTCGATGATGGACTATAATGGTTAGAAAAGGATTATTTTAAGTATTAACATGAGCATGTATTTACAGTTCTGATAATGTTTGCTATTTTGAGTAGTTAAAATTGGAACCTTTGATTTAAGATTAAAAATTACAATATTGAACGTTAAATAGATACTTCTGTATTTAAAATCATAATAACACTAATTTCTATAAATGAAAATTATTTGTTTGAAATGGAAAGCATTTATTTTGTAATTGTCAGAGAACATGAGTAACTTATCTGTTACTTTTCTAGTGTAGATAACTTGAATATATATATATATATATTTCTTAATCTAAATAAAAATGATATTATTCTATAAAAATAAAATGAATTGCTTTGAAATGTTTCTCATACATAATTCGAATATTCTACAATCCATTTATTATAACATGCAACATTTATTATTTTTATGCTGTTCATAGGTCCAAGATTGTATAAACAGCCTACGACTAAGTCGAATCGTGGTATTATGTTAAATGCCGTGGAATACTGCGTATTTCCTGGTACGGTGAACAAGGAAGCAAAAAAAAGAGTTTTAGACGAAATTGCGAGATCGGAGAGCAAGCATTTTCTTATTTTATTTCGAGATGCTGGTTGCCAATTCCGGGCTCTCTACTCATACTGCCCTGACAGAGAAGAAGTATCGAAGTTGTACGGTACTGGACCGAAACAAGTTATGGATAAAATGTTCGACAAGTTTTTCAAGTAAGTTTGCAATGTCTTCTAGATTATCATTCTTTACCTACGTAGTTATTAATATATTTTTTAACAATGTATTTATTATTTTTCAGATACAATTCGGGTGGAAAATGTTTTTCCCAAGTTCATACGAAGCATCTGACTGTAACCATAGATGCCTTTACAATACACAATAGTCTTTGGCAAGGGAAGAAAGTGAATTTGCCGAACAAGAAAGACATGCCTCTCGTCATATAGTTTTACACAAGTGTCACACTTAACATTACGCTACTATGCCCTCTGTTGTTCATAGTTACTATTTTAATACAGGCCCATATTAAATTAATGCAAACGTTGCGTTCTTAGTCAATTTTATAAAGACAAATGATTGATGCTGACACGAAGACGCGAAGGTGTAATCTAATTCATGCATGTTTTTACGATTGCACATTACTTTCAAAACGGAGTAT